CAACCCACGTTATTAGAGTGGGCACCAGATCATAGTAGGGGAGTTGATACTCATCAACAATACCTAAAACACACCATCCCATGTTATTAGAGTGGGCACCAGATCATAGAAGGGGAGTTGATACTCATCAACAATACCTAAAACACACCATCCCATGTTATTAGAGTGGGCACCAGATCATAGTAGGGGAGTTGATACTCATCAACAATACCTGAAACACACCATCCCATGTTATTAGAGTGGGCACCTAGTAGGGGAGTTGATACTCATCAACAATACCTGAAACACACCATCCCATGTTATTAGAGTGGGCACCAGATCATAGTAGGGGAGTTGATACTCATCAACAATATCTGAAACACACCATCCCATGTTATTAGAGTGGGGACCAGATCATAGTAGGGGAGTTGATACTCATCAACAATACCTGAAACACACCATCCCATGTTATTAGAGTGGACACCAGATCATACTAGGGGAGTTGATACTCATCAACAATACCTGAAACACACCAACCCATGTTATTAGAGTGGGCACCAGATCATAGTAGGGGAGTTGATACTCATCAACAATACCTGAAACACACCATTGCATGTTATTAAAGTGGGCACCAGATCATAGTAAGGGAGTTGATACTCATCAACAATACCTGAAACACACCATCCCATGTTATTAGAGTGGGCACCAGATCATAGAAGGGGAGTTGATACTTATCAACAATACCTAAAACACACCATCCCATGTTATTAGAGTGGGCACCAGATCATAGTAGGGGAGTTGATACTCATCAACAATACCTGAAACACACCATCCCATGTTATTAGAGTGGGCACCAGATCATAGTAGGGGAGTTGATACTCATCAACAATACCTGAAACACACCATCCCATGTTATTAGAGTGGGCACCAGATCATAGTAGGGGAGTTGATACTCATCAACAATATCTAAAACACACCATCCCATGTTATTAGAGTGGGCACCAGATCATAGTAGGGGAGTTGATACTCATCAACAATACCTGAAACACACCATCCCATGTTATTCGAGTGGGCACCAGATCATAGTAGGGGAGTTGATACTCATCAACAATATCTAAAACACACCATCCCATGTTATTAGAGTGGGCACCAGATCATAGTAGGGGAGTTGATACTCATCAACAATACCTGAAACACACCATCCCATGTTATGAGAGTGGGCACCAAATCATAGTAGGGGAGTTGATACTCATCAACAATACCTGAAACACACCATCCCATGTTATTAGGGTAGCGTTATTATAGAGTGGGCACCAGATCATAGTAGGAGAGTTGATACTCATCAACAATACCTGAAACACACCATTGCATGTTATTAGAGTGGGCACCAGATCATAGTAGGGGAGTTGATACTCATCAACAATACCTGAAACACACCATCCCACGTTATTAGAGTGGGCACCATATCATAGTAGGGGAGTTGATACTCATCAACAATACCTGAAACACACCAACCCATGTTATTAGAGTGGGCACCAGATCATAGTAGGGGAGTTGATACTCATCAACAATACCTGAAACACACCAACCCACGTTATTAGAGTGGGCACCAGATCATAGTAGGGGAGATGATACTCATCAACAATACCTGAAACACACCATCCCATGTTATTAGAGTGGGCACCAGATCATAGTAGGGGAGTTGATACTCATCAACAATACCTGAAACACACCAACCCACATTATTAGAGTGGGCACCAGATCATAGTAGGGGAGTTGATACTCATCAACAATACCTGAAACACACCATCCCATGTTATTAGAGTGGGCACCAGATCATAGTAGGGGAGTTGATACTCATCAACAATACCTGAAACACACCATCCCATGTTATTAGAGTGGGCACCAGATCATAGTAGGGGAGTTGATACTCATCAACAATACCTGAAACACACCATCCCATGTTATTAGAGTGGGCACCAGATCAAAGTAGGGGAGTTGATACTCATCAACAATACCTGAAACACACCATCCCATGTTATTAGAGTGGGCACCAGATCATAGTAGGAGAGTTGATACTCATCAACAATACCTGACACACACCAGCCCATGTTATTAGAGTGGGCACCAGATCATAGTAGGGGAGTTGATACTCATCAACAATACCTGAAACACACCATCCCATGTTATTAGAGTGGGCACCAGATCATAGTAGGGGAGTTGATACTCATCAACAATACCTGAAACACACCATTGCATGTTATTAGAGTGGGCACCAGATCATAGTAAGGGAGTTGATACTCATCAACAATACCTGAAACACACCATGGCATGTTATTAGAGTGGGCACCAGATCATAGTAGGGGAGTTGATACTCATCAACAATACCTAAAACACACCATCCCATGTTATAAGAGTGGGCACCAGATCATAGTAGGGGAGTTGATACTCATCAACAATACCTGAAACACACCATCCCATGTTATTAGAGTAGGCACCAGATCATAGTAGGGGAGTTGATACTCATCAACAATACCTGAAACACACCATCCCATGTTATTAGAGTAAGCACCAGATCATAGTAGGGGAGTTGATAGTCATCAACAATACCTGAAACACACCATCCCATGTTATTAGAGTGGGCACCAGATCATAGCAAGGGAGTTGAAACTCATCAACAATACCTAAAACACACCATCCCATGTTATTAGAGTGGGCACCAGATCATAGTAGGGGAGTTGATACTCATCAACAATACCTGAAACACACCATCCCATGTTATTAGAGTGGGCACCAGATCATAGTAGGGGAGTTGATACTCATCAACAATACCTGAAACACACCAACCCATGTTATTAGAGTGGGCACCAGATCATAGTAGGGGAGTTGATACTCATCAACAATACCTGAAACACACCATCCCATGTTATTAGAGTGGGCACCAGATCATAGTAGGGGAGTTGATACTCATCAACAATACCTGAAACACACCATCCCATGTTATTAGAGTAGGCACCAGATCATAGTAGGGGAGTTTATACTCATCAACAATACCTGAAACACACCATCCCATGTTATTAGAGTGGGCACCAGATCATAGTAGGGGAGTTTATAGTCATCAACAATACCTGAAACACACCATCCCATGTTATTACAGTGGGCACCAGATCATAGTAGGGGTGTTGATACTCATCAACAATACCTGAAACACACCATCCCATGTTATTAGAGTGGGCACCAGATCATAGTAGGGGAGTTGATACTCATCAACTATACCTGAAACACACCATCCCATGTAATGAGTGTGGATGAAATTATAGTTTTGAGTAGTGATGTGTGGATATGGGAGAAGGGCTGTAAGGGCACAATGTATGTACAATCAATGAAAGTACAATGTACACATAATCAATGAAAATACAATATCCATACAATCGATGAAAGTACAACACATATACAATCAATGAAAGTACAGGGTACATACAATTAATGAAAGTACAATACACATACAATCAATGAAACTACAATGTACATGCAATCTATGGAAATACAATGTATATAGAATCAGTGAAAGTACAATGTACACATAATCAATGAAAGTATAATGTCCATGCAATCAATGAAACTACAACATACATATAATCAATGAAAGTACAATAAACATACAATCAATGAAAGTACAATACACATGCAATCCATGAAAGTACAATACACATGCAATCAATGAAAGTACAATGTACATAATAAGTATCCTAAATGAGACCGGATTTCTTGCAATATCACTTCATCATACTTGGAGATTATATTTGCTGCTTATATTTCAACAATTTATTTTCTATGAATAAATAAAGACAATTTGACATTGCAAATTAACAAATATGACATATATTTGGAAAATGAATGATTTGAGATGTTTCAGTCTCACTAAAGTACACAATTGTATACAAATATAGATTATGTACAGACATCATTGTTTGGACTGTGAGCTATGATAAGAACAAGTTGACAGGCTAAGATGGTCAATCCACACCATTTCTATATCAAATTCCTTTGCGATGATATCCAAATGACTGAGTCTCAAAATTAAACATCTTGGCCAAACAAACATTACATTGCTCTATTTCGGAATTTGGCAAAAAAATCTTGATATTTTAAGTGTCTGTGTGATATTGTGAGAATAGTAGATTTTCAAATTGCGAAGAAAGCGTGTTTACATTTCACACTGTTGTTTACCAGAGGCTGTCACTGGTATTGTGACAATGCACTAAAAATAGTTGTCTAAATATTTTGTAAACTTTAGACTCCTATTTACTAATAATGGGAAACGAATAAGTAGAATAAATTTTGTACCTCAAATTAGTGTTCCTTTCTGACGTAATCAAACTTCACATATTCATCAATTCCAATAGGTAATACTTAGACTCTGGAAAGTTCTCCTCTTAGTAATATGGCGGTATTCTAATCAACTAGGGTTTCATACTTATGTTTTAAATATTAAACATTAGGCCTAAATTCTTCATTTTTTGAGTTTTCTAAGCATTGGAATTGTTCACAATAACAGAATTTGATAGTCAGATGACAAATATGGGATTCTTGTGACTTGCAAAAATAAAAACACTATTCATGATTTATTTTGAAGGTTGTCCCTTTTTAAGAGGCTTACATTATTACGTCATTATGTTGTATCAAAATACACTCTAATAAATGACCTTTGAATATAAGATATCAACACCTTTTTGTTCAACTGTGAATTCTATATTTGATGGAAGATCTGTTTTGAAAGATGGATAACATACTACGAGAAACACAATTAAAAACATATTGCAGTTATAGAATCTTGTTTGGACTTGTTTGTTGTATAAAATTGTGAAATTCCATTCATTTTAATTCTGGGGCTCAAAATTTCAACCAGGAAAATATTGACCTAGACTTAACAAAGTTATTATCCTCAACCCCAAATCATACACTCTCACTTATTTTTTATCAATTTCAACCCAACCCTTAAAAATATGTCTTATACTAACCACAACCATTACACCTTCGTGCTATCTCCCAAAGCACCAGCCCCATAGCATATACATCTGCACGCTTGAATGATTCGAAGTGAGCTTGATTTATGGAATCATCTAACACCTCTGGTGCCATGTAGCGTTTCGTTCCAACTCTGTTACCATTGTGTGATATGTCAACGGTGTCTGTGTAAGATTCATGCCGCACGGCCAGCCCTGGAATCAATTTTACTTCAAGAGATCAATCTAATGGTAATAGTCTATAAGTGTCACCTATTGGTTATGATGTTATTCTTTGAGTTTCAGGGCAAACCATAGGTAAACATATTGCATTTTCAAACAAAATTGGAATGGTCATAATTTTCAGGGAGGACACATTTCTCTATGTATTTTTCATGTCATATTGGGAATAACAGCAGATTTAAAAAAATACTAGTACTATTTGATTTGTTAAAACTAATGTTATTTGATCATGACAGTGCTGCAGAACAGCAATTTTAATGATCAACATTTTTCCTATTAAAGAGACTCTATACCATAGGATAGCACAATCAAGAACCCTCCTGACCTTTTTGCATATTGAGTTTCACTACATTATTCACCTCACTAATTAACAAGAAAAGAAAAAATAACAAAATAACATGAATAATGAGATATAATGGATTATAACAAATGGATTGTGAGATAATCCCTTTCTTATTTTGTAATTTTTTTTATGGAGATCAATTATGTAATATCCCCCAATCTTTTGGTACATTATGGTAACCATATCAAAAAATGTTGCTTTTACATCAGATATTTGACCTCAAATTTTCATTGTTTTCGGATTATCCTAATCCCAAGGGGACTCAGTTTTCCTTTTCAGAGGTAAATCATGACTAATAGTATTCAATTTAGTCGTAAAAATTGGAATAAAATGCTGCACTTTTTGTGAAAATTGGTTTATTATCACGGAAAATTGGTGATGATGGGTGGATTAACATGATTAATGACAGCTTAAGAGATAATCTGTACGACTTTACTTTCATTCTATTGTCCCTTATTGAAGATGACATATTGGCAAAACAAACGCATTTGTTTTTGTGGTCAAATAATTATTAGAACTTAAATAAATAAGAGCAGTCTAAAAAAGCTTGCCCCTTTACACCAAATAAACAGGAAATGAAAAAAAACATGTGGATTTTAGAACTTTTTGAACTAAGATAACCGAGTTCTGCTTTAAAATAACATGTAGCATAAAATGTCCCTGATTAAAAGTCATTGGCAAATAAAGTAGAATCATAAGAAAAACATAAATCGTAACTCTGAGGCAGATTGACTCATTTTCAACACAAACTGAGCTGATCTAATTTATCAATGCTAACATTTGGCGCTCTTTTCATCTAGACAGTTAGCAAGATTTGTGATTAAGCTAATCAACCATAAATAAAGTGTGTTTCTTTGAAGACAAAGTAGACTTGATTCATTCTACTGCTTTGTATAACCTCAATTATGGATAAATTTCCAAATAATTACTTTCTTGACATGAATATGTCAATTTACGACTACTTAGCAATAAGCAGCGCTCAACTTTTCAAGTTATTCGATGTGAGAAATGAAAAAAAATCCAGAAATGCTCGATGAATGTAATTTGGTCTTGAATTAATGACTCAGCCAGCTGTTCATCAATTTTTATTGTAGGTTCCTAAAAGGAAGGCAGTACCTATTCCAGGTATCAGTGCACAAAAATACAGAAGGTACTATCTGTGCAGCAACAGGGCAATCAAGCATTGGGTATGAGTGCCCTTAACTACATTGTTTAGGCATCAACATTTAAATTATCACAGCCTATAGATCCTAGATGAGGGGTAGAGTAACCTTATGCAAGCAAGACATCCTGACACCAGGATAGATGACATTTGGGTCATCCTGACATTTCACATTTCCTAGGTATCGTGAAGTATCATAGCAATTATATCAACAGTGAACACTTTTTCCAGGCAAAACAAAGGTGAGACAAATGATTAACTCAAAATGACAAAATTAAGCAAAAAGTAACATTGTCGATAATCACTGACGACTTTTCAGGTTGAATAATCTGACAATAGGACATACAGACCAGTTGCATCCTGTTGCAAAAGATTTGATCTGTATTTACAAACAGTATGCCAGAATAGTCCAAATAAATAAATAAAACTTGTCACAATATCTGAGAAATTATAGCTCTCATGCAGAGAAAACCTTTTTTACTTTTGAGATGCTTTTGGGCTTAGAGATGTTTCACAGAAACTCAGATATAAAAATACATGATATGTTGATAAATCAGACACTCGGATAGTTTTGGTCATCAATAAAAATGTCATTAAGTAAATACCAAATTCAAATGAAATCAGTCACTTAAGCTACATACCTAAATCTGCTATGCAACATGTGTGGTTTGACTTAACAAGAATATTTTTTGATTTCAGATCTCTGTGTGCGATAGCTGGTTTCCCTGGAAGAATAAATATGTGCAAATCCACTTCTGAACTTAACTAAAAAATTGATATTATGCAAAACAGAATATTATCTAGTAGTTTTCTTTTCTTTAATTCATTGCTATTTTCAAAGTATAACCCAGCACTGAACATTTTCAAGAAAATTCCCCTTTGATTCAAAGATCCTTTTTGGAATATACATGTTTAGAATTAGTCTGCAAACATAGTAAAATCAAAACCTATACCTAATACTCCAGTTATTTCTGTATGTAGATGCACAATACCATTTGCCATACTTATAGCAAACTTCATCATTCGTGCAGTATCAATCTCATACTTGTTGAGGTAATCAAAGAGAGACCCATTCTCATGGTAATCTGTTACCAGCCACAGTTCAGTCCATGGACCAACATCTGCAGATATACACAAGCAGGTATGAGAACAAATGGACAGAGTTTATAGCTTATTCTGTCAAAAATCTCAATGTTTGAACATTGATGCAATCTATTTTTGGAAATTCAAATATTAGATGATTTTTGTTAATTTTGAAAAGTTAATGATTTCTTCATCAATTACATTTCACAGATTTTTTCAATTATTTCATCTTTGGTATTTGCAGGCCTGAATGAAATTCTAAAATACTAAAATCATCATTTCAAAAATGCTAGGAAATTCAAAATAAGAAATCAGCCTTGTAATTCAGAATTTACAAACATCATTTTCTATATTCTGAATTTCCAATAAGTGCATGGGAGTTATTCTGCAATAAATGAAAACATTTGCTCTACATTATACAGTGCCATCCCTCTTGTCTTCTCACTGCCTTACATTGGTCATCATGAACGTGTAATGTCAACTGCACAATAAAAAACTCATCTTGACAGCTTGTTGGTGTCTAGGCCTTGAGAGGACTTTGGGAATGTTATTATTGGCAATTTTGTTATCTTGCATTAACATCCTGTACCCCCTCCCCCGTCTCTTACTCTAGTGGGAGTAATAGAAAAGGGGGAAGGGGGGGGGGGGGCAGAGTCTTGACCAAGAGACTTTTTATAAACATAGTTCATGTATTTGTGTTTTCAAAAAACATCACATATTTTCTCCTCTTGGTACTTTCTCAACTGGGTACAAAATTATTCTTATTCAACCGTCTGACCATTATATACCAAGAAAAGTGCACAAATTCAAAATATCACACTTTTTCAGTTTTTTCCAATTTCTAAAATGAGGTGTTTAAATAGTTGCAAAGTATGTTATAATCTGAACTAATTGTAACACCTGTATGTTTCAATGTTGGAGAGTTCAATTACATAAAACACTTGAAGAATGTCAGGAATCATTCTCCTTATGGTTTATGTTATTGTCATTTATTTCATTTGCATATTCTTAACATTCTGACAGGCTCCAGGCCTCAGTGTTACTTATGTCAAAGTTGAAAGACATATTTCTTAGATTATGTTATCTAAATGTACTGCATATTTTCAGAGGTAAGTCCTGAAAAAAGGACTGATCAATTACTTTCGAGCTGCTGTAAAACCAGTAGATGAACATTTCTGTAAGTGGAACACTTTTCAAAGTTCAGTAAGTTACCCAATAACTCAGTGTATAAACATGGTTAAAACACTATTTTAAGGTACCAAATGTGTTCCACTTTAACTTTCTCTGATTGTTCTGGTACTACTGGGATATGACAACTTAAATAATTTCATATAAATAGAACAGACTTGGGAAAAGGAATATATTAATAGCACTAGCAGAAAGTTCAAACAACAAAATCAAGCAATGCAAAACCATACACATCTGACAAATCTAAAATGACTGTTTGTTCCAATAAGATAATAAAATCTAAATTAAACCCTGAACCTGAGATTATAAAACTGTTCTTTCCATGGTTCCAAACCACAAACTTCCTTTCAAATAAAAAAGGTGATTAAAACTACTCAAATAGATTGTTAAGACACAGATACATGTATGTGATATACCTGGTATATGAATTGGAGGGTGGCTTTCAAGAACAAAGATTTAATTGAGAATGAACAGGTTAGTTTAACCTGGGGGTTTTCATCAATTTCACCCCAAAGGGTTCCTAGAATAGACGTCTTGTATTTCCAAATCTTTAAACGTATGGCAGAGAAAGATTATTTATCTTGATTGATGGCTTGAGATATTCTCAGAACCAGAATGAAGCTAAAGCTTTATCTTAAATTATTTGTATGCAATTAAAAAGCACTTGATCTACTTGCATGGGATTCTAAAAAAATAACTCTTGACCTACTTGTAACAAAATATTGAAAAGCATGATTTTGTGGTTTTGATAGTGGTAGTGCAAGTCTTTGAGAAAACTGGAGTCGACACAATAATGAAAAACTGATCCAGAAATTGACAATAAACATCTTTTGACGTCTCTATTTTTTCAAAAAAATGAACATTTTCTCCTATATGTTTATTATAGCAGCTTAAAGCAGATTTTAGCAAGTCAAAATTATTGACACCAGAGCCAATGTAGTTCAAGGCCCTCACTGCATCAATAATGCAACTCTAACGACTATTTACTGCACCACGATTATCTGATCATTTGATAGTGGAGGGAATAAGGAATTTGTCCATTTAATTGTAACTGCTTGTGCTTCTCAATTTTTCAGTTTTTCAAAAAATGGTACCTTTCTGACAAAAAGCTTCAATCATAATGAAAGATTTAATGTGCTATACAAACACAAAATGAAATTGCTTCATAACAAAGGAACTTAACCCTAACCTAGGTACCATAATTATCATCAAGCCTGCAAAGGATTTGGTAAATTATATCATCTGCAGGACCGTAGCCAGGGGGAGTAGAAGGAGCGACCACGACCGCGACCATGGTGACTGTTATCAAAACAAAATAATTTCACAGGTAAAATCCCAAGAATATTGGATACAAGGTAAAGCTTTGATAGTGATAATTTTGCAATTTCTAACATTGAAATAAACAAACAGATAATAAAAAAATCCAAGTGTATTGTAATGTCATATCTATTTGACTCAAATATATCAATCTGAGAAATATATCAATGGACTGCCAAAACAAGTAGTGCATGAAAACAAGATGGATGACAAGAAATAAAGCAATGACATGTGGTATGAATCTTCTATCTCAATAACAACACAATTAATGAACATTTTCACAGTAGTTTGATGTCCCCTGGTGAGGTAAGATGATTTGCCGAAATGTTCACATTTTTCAAATGTGTCCTCGTGCTAGAAGTATTCTTTGAAATTTTCCCAAATTACTCTCATTTCATGGTCTGAATGCTGCCTCTAGGGACCATAGCAATTGATATTTATGGTTCTGTAAAATGCGTATACACATGGTGCTCCTTTTGATACATGTATTAACTCATGGAGTACATCCGTCGCCAAGAAATACAGCTTGAAAAATCATGGTACTTTTTCCAATACATTTTTTTGTGATTTATTGACTCCAGGTTCCAGGAATATGTCAAAGTCCAGCATACTAGGCAGATTTCAATTAATTATGACATTGTATCCTGTTTTGACAACAAGAATGATATAACCAAAACTTTCTCACACACTCAACGCTCCCTTACCTTTATTATCTGCAGCTATGAATCCCAGTATATTTTCATGTCTCAACATGGATGTCTGGTAGAGCTCAGATTCTCTGGACCACGATTGCTCTTCTCGTGCTTGGACTATTTTTACTGCAACATTTTCTCCCCGCCACCTTCCCCGTAGAACTTTTCCATAGCGACCTAAGCCAATTGTCTCATAAAGCTGTATCTGCCGTGCTATCGTTCTCTGTACAAGCAAAGGTAGACCTGAAAATACATGTATATAGTTTGATGACAGAAATTGATTATTATTCTGATATCACCCCGGAACCTAGTCTTGCAGTTCTAACTGCTCAGTGATCTCCCATGCATTAAAGCAATTGGGAGCAGCACCCTGAGATTTTTAAAAAGGCTACCACAGACCTGAGATTGAATTTGCACCTACTTGGAAATGAGAAAAATCATGTAAAATGGGCATATCGTGACCAATTTTAGACTTAATTGTGAAAATGCGAATTATACACCCACTTGAAAAGAAAGTTTTCTTCATTTAATTAAACTTCATTAAAGGAGGTTATATTTAATTAAAATCTACTAATAAAAAAATAGAAATCTTATTGATATACATATAAACCTGAAGAAATCAAAATACAAATTGATGGCAAAAACATTACAAAGAAGGATAATATTAACTTTCTTGGTGTTTTAACTGATGACAAACTAAATTAGAAATTTTACACTCAAAAATTGTAAGGAAAGATAGCAAAAATTATTTATATATCTCATTATGATGATGGCTTTGCGAACAGATGTTGACCCTTTGAATTGCCTATGGACTTCGAGACTGGATTTTGATGTTATGAGTATTGGCTATCAATTTTTCATTTTTTTTTTTTTTTTTTTTTTTTTCTCAATTTACATTTTCACTACACAAGGATACAAGGATACAAGTGATTTGCTGTAAGCCGTTTTTACAAATGAAATAGAAATACAAAGAATACCAAATTCGACACACAGACCCATTCCACTCACACGACATTCATTCATATCATGCATACCACACACATACAATCACTCATCAAAAATATTTTCCAGTCTGAGACCTTCGTTTAAATAGGCTTGAAATCCAACACAAGTCAGTGGCATGTTGGAATAATAAGCTCTATGAACATAGTATTTTAATATCAAAACGGAAAAGTTAAACTTTCTAAAATGTTTCCTATCGAAATACCCAACAATGACGTGTTGCTCATTTAAGTGTATATCCCTTTCTCTCCATTGATCTCCGAAATATTTTAAAAGACTTTTGATGTTCTTGCACTCCCAAAAACGGTGGACAATCGTCTCTTTTTGGCCGCAAAAATCACATTTATCATTCGTACGTATACCAACAAGTTTAAGGTACAAATTTGAGGCATAAATATTATTAATAATCTTATACTGTAATTCCCAAAAAGCGTGGTTTTTGGTTATGTCATATACCATTGAACACATATCTCGAGCGTTAACATTATATTTGCAACATAAGCGCTTAACGCTTATTGATTCAGAAAAACATTGTTGATTGATGTACAATTGAATCATTTTTGTATTCAAATTTTTGATGTGGACCGTTTTGTTACCAATAAAAAACTCTTCGATGCTTTCAGTATATTCGGTTTCACACTTCGCTTTCGGATCGCTTTTTAAAATTGATTTCCATTTCTTTGGAATGGAAGATATTAGGCTAATGTAGTCTAAAAAGTTTATATCCACCTGGAACTTGTATTTAAAATCATTCAGTTCCATAAAACTACCATTCCCATTTAGTAAATCATTTATTTGAACAACCCCCATTTCGAAAAGGCTTTTTTGAAATATCTGTTTACCCTCCCTAAGTATGTATTTATTATGCCATAGTATCTCGCTCTTTACCTCAGAACTGTTTTTTGGTTCCTCCGTCTCACTTACCGTTGAATAATATGAAAGAGCATTCATATAGAAATCTGGGATTTTTTGTTTAAATAGGCGTACATCATATCTACATTGCAGAAGTAGATTAAGACCGCCAAAATGTTCAAAATATATTCGCGGAATCACTTTCCAGTGGCTAAGTTGGTCATCAAGGAATCGTTTAAGCCACATAATTTTTAGTGCTTTTTCCATCGAGGTCATGTTCACCATACGAATGCCCCCCTGATCATAAGATCCGACCACAGAATTTCGCTTTATTTTATCCCATTTCCCTTTCCACAAAAAATTATAAATCAAAGTATTCACCTTTGAAATGATGCTGTCGGGCGTAACAGTCATGGACATAGAATATACGATCTGTGAAACTGCAAGGGATTTGATTATCATAATACGACCGTAAATGGTGAGATTTCGCTTACCCCAGAGGTTCAGAATCCTCTTCAACGATTCTATTTTCCGGTCAAAATTTATCGCCTTATTATGCTCTGGATCGTATGATACACTGATGCCTAAAAACTTACTTGGCCTCTTTACCCAAATACAGCCCCCAATATTCGGATTTACACCATCATGGTTGGCACCAACACTAAAACATTCGGTTTTTTCCTTATTAATTTTTAGGCCCGATAATTGATAAAAATTTTCGAAAATGCTTAAGGCAGCTTCAAGGGAATTTGCATCTTTGAGTATTAGAGACGTGTCATCGGCATACATAATCAATTTCTGAGTGTGGCCATTTAGATCGATTCCTTTCACATTTTCATCTTGCCTGATCTTAAGGGCAAGTACCTCAATACATATAACAAAAAGGGAGCAACTTAACGGATCTCCTTGACGGACACCCCTATGTACTTTAAACCACCCAGTAGAATGCCCGTTGTTCAATACGCAGCTATTGATATCAGTGTAAAAGAGCTTAACCCAATGGATTAACTCATCGCCAAAATTAAAGTACCGCAACGCAAAATCAATAAAACTCCATTCGATACTGTCATATGCTTTTTCAAAGTCAATTAAAGAAATAATGCCTGGTATTTTCCTTTCTCTAGTATATACTAGTAAATCCTCCATAAATCGAATGTTTTTGCCAATCAGTCTTCCTTTGACAAAGGCAGTCTGATCGGGTTCAATAATCGCGCAGAGAACCGCTTCAATTCTCTTACTTACCACTTTAGAAACAATTTTATAATCTATATTTAACCAGAACAACGGCAACGCCAAAGCGTAGCGAATCCCATCGAACATTTTTCAAAAGGGGCACCTTCTACCAAAAGTGTCATTAGACAGTGTGCCATGCTTATAATATTCACATACCAAATATGAACAAAATCGCTCTACTACTTTTTGAGTTATAGTAAAATACGTTAAAATGGAGGCCATTTTGAAAAATGGCCGCCTTCTACCAAAAGTCTCATTGGACAGTGTGCCATGCTTATACGGATTCACGTACCAAATATGAACAAAATCGCTCCACTACTTTTTGAGTTATAGTAAAATAAGTTAAAATGGCGGACATTTTGAAAAATGACCGCCCTCTACCAAAAGTGTCATTAGACAGTGTGCCATGCTTATACGTATTAACATACCAAATATGAACAAAATCGCTCCACTACTTTTCGAGTTTTAGTAAAATAAGTTAAAATGGCGGCCATTTTTCAAAATGTCCGCCATTTTTCAAAATGGCCGCCTTCTACCAAAAGTGTCATTAGACAGTGTGCCATGCTTATAGTATTCACATACCAAATATGAACAAAATCGCTCAACTACTTTTCGGGTTACAGCAAAAATCGTAAAATAACGAGTAAAGGCCGCCATTTTTCAAGATGGCTGCCATGTGCTTTTTTAATATCTACACTTCTAGCTTTATTTATGTCCTATATAATTTTTTTTACATTTAAAACATATTGCTATTACAGTTTTACATATTGCACCTAAATTACTGTAAAATCGGCACTAAAATGGCCGCCATTTTTAAATGAGCGGCCATTTTGAAAATCGGCTTTCGAGCAGAACTTCTACCCCCATAGGGTATATGTGTACAAAATATGAATAAAATCGGGCCAACGGTATTTGAGTTATTGCCCGGATGGACGGACGGACGGACGGACGGACGTACGTACGTACGGACGGACGGACGTACGTACGGACGGACGGACGGAGGCGTTCCCTATATCCCTCCGAACTTCGTTCGATGGGATAACAATGAAATTGGACGCCAGTTTTTAAGCAGAGATAAATCCTTTCCCGATTTTTCAATCAAAGATATTACGCCCTGCCTTTGACTAACAGATAAGAGTCCAACTCTAAGTGAGAGGTTAAAACTGTCAACAACACCTGTCGAAATGTCGTTCCAAAATGCTTTATACCATTCGGCCGAAAGGCCATCACTCCCCGGTGTTTTGTTCGACTTAAACGTTGAGAGAACTTTAAAGCATTCTTCAACATGTATTGTAATGACTCAGTATGAATGAAATGTCCCTTGGTGTTCTGGTCCTGGGTTGTGATATTGTTGGTCCTCAATTGGAGGGGGGAGGGGGATGTTAGACATTGTTTCTTTTCACGTTAGATCATGGTTTTGGGATATATAGGGTCTACTTTTCTTATGACAGATTTACACTTACAGTTTGCTTTTCTTGTTAGGTTTCCTTAAAGTTTTTAGTCACCCTTCCCTTTTGGCATATGTGCTTATATATTCATATATCTCTATGATATAAATATATTTTTAAAGACTCCTTAGATGTCATAGCATGACAATCACATACTAGTCTGTACAAAAAAAACTACCTAACTATGATACCATGTTAGATTTAGTAATCAATTTTTTATTCATATTCATATTTTTTATTCATTTCATTATTAAGTTTTTAGTAAATCCCTTCGGTCGCCTGAAGGCATTGTAAAAGAGTAGGCAATTATTTTCTCAAATCCTGAGGTTTCAGGAGTTCAAGACAAATCCATGAATTTAATACAGATATATTGGCAATTTATAAACACTATCAACAGATAACTGGCCTGATAACATTCAGAGAATGTGTCTGCACAAACAAAAGGCCTTCAAGGAATCGGGGAATGTATCTTTGCATTCTTCATATGAGTTGAAAATATGTAACATTATCATCAGTCTAAATTACATTGTATTAAATTTTGTTGCATCAGTGATCTCTTAAAGATTTTTTCTCAGGTGGGTACAAAATTCTTAGTTTCACAATTCAGACCAAAATTGGTCAAAAATATGTCAATTTTTCAAGTGGGTGCAAATGGATTTTCAGGTGGGTACAAGCCTATTTTCAAAATCTCAGGTGGGTGCTGCACCTACTTGTTTTAATGCTGAGGAGATCACTGTATATAGCATCTTAAAATCCGGGATTGCCAGTCCTACACTGACAGACAGCAGAGGGGGGAGGGTCACTGCAATACATGCATCCCCTTTATCTGAACTTTCCCACACAAGCAAGGGGAGAAGAGAGTGAGTCTGGTAACACAGATGGAAAAGGAGTAGGTCTTGATTCAAGCTATTATATCTATGCAAATGAAAATAAAATTATGAAATGTTCTAATTTTTAATTTCTAATTTCAAATTACTGTAGATGTATGTATTTATTCTAATAAGAATCACCATTCAATTATAAGTTGTCATGACCAGACAGGTTGACCTATATAGACTGGGATGTTTTGTGTTTGGATCTCTTATATAATGTCACATATACTGCTATATTTCTGGCACTCATATCAGTTCATTCATTATATAATATATGTCATAGTCTAAATACTACAAGTAACAAGTAACACAACCAATACAGTCTGACATTAAATATTAAACAAATCTTCCATTCACATCATTTCATTCTCTGAAATCATAACATATTATGGGGGCTCTATCAAGAAAAAAGTCAGAGTACTCAAAATAATAAAAGCATTTATGCAAGTTCACGCACCTCCAACTCACGAATAAATGCATTTATGCAAGTTCACACATCTCCAACTCACAAATAAATGCATTTATGCAAGTTCACGTGTCTCCAACACACGAATAAATGTATTTATGCAAGTTCACGCGTCTCCAACTCACGTTATGCAAGTTCATGCGTCTTCAACTCACGAATAAAAGCATTTATGCAAGTTCACGCGTCTCCAACTCACGAATAAATGCATTTATGCAAGTTCACACGTCTCCAACTCACAAATAAATGCATTTATGCAAGTTCACACGTCTCCAACTCACGAATAAATGTATTTATGCAAGTTCACGCGTCTCCAACTCACGAATAAATGCATTTTTATGCAAGTTCACGTGTCTCCAACTCACAACCTCATGGTGACAGCGACATCGCTCAAAAAATATTGTTGAAAGTGGTTACATGTAGAACCTGTCAAATGAGGTTTACTAGATGTTATATCAAAAAAAAAGTGATCTCGCCAAGATTTTTTGAAAACAAGGCACTAACCTGACCCAGAAGATCCCGAATACATCCCCGACACTATCATCTCCTTCAGGGATGTTTCTGTCTTACCAATGGTCTCATCTGGCTGATAAGTATGATAAACAAATCCATTGTGGGGATAATTTTCATGATTTCTCTGCTCGTGACAATGTCTCATACGTAAGCAAACTGCGATGGATATTGCGAGAATTACCAAGCACAATGTCCCAAACACTAGGCCCAATATTAATCTTAACCTGTCAGGTTCTGAGATAGATGGAGCTCTTTCTGAAAAAGAGTATTGTTACATTACAAGAATTGTAGAAACAGTTATAGCTAGATAACAGTAACGCCAAGATGTAGCAAATCCCATTGAACAACTAATCACTGTCAGGCAACATTACTTTATTGCTGCGATATTGAAAAACAAAAAAAATAACAAAATCATTCTGCTACTTTTCCAGTTATAGCAAAAAATGTAAAATAACACATATAAAATTGCCACCTTTTTGGAAATGGCTGCCTATCAGACATATTGTCATCAGACAGAGTAATATGCTTCCAAGTAATCAAGCCTATTTCAACAATGTTACATTATTTATTTTTCCAGATATACCATATAAGAACCTATGAGTCAGTGAGCCATGCTTTCAATATTCACATATCAAATATGAACAAAATTGCTCAACTACTTTCAAACTAAATCAATATCCTATAACTTTTTTCTATTTAAAACAAATTAAAGGACAACTGAAATAGCTTTTCTCAACTTGCAGCTACAAAAATGCAGTTTTCTCTATTGTAAGCCCGAAGTAGAGTTCTTGCGATAGCCATTATAAAATAAATGTTAGATAACTGCTAACGGTCATAGATAACGAAATAAAACTAACTGATCAATCAAATTGGCCCCAATGTGATTAGTAACGTCATATACAAAATATAGCTTTGGTTTATTGGTTCCTTAGTAATCACAACGTCACAGCAACCATAGGATTGTTGTGTAAACAAATAACAAAACATTTTGGCATTATGACGTTATGATCTAATGGGCCAAAACTGGGCCACGTGGGGACCAGTGAGAGATCACGTGGGGGCCAATAATGTCACAACCAATTCGAATATTGCTTATTAAGCAGCTATAACGATCGTTAGAGTGAAATAATTTTCACACTACTGATGAGAAAACATGTCCAAATACATTTATCAAAAAATTATATTGATTCCTTAAGGTTAAAAATACCATTTCATATCTGCTTTAATAATACAGATACTAAATCGCCAGCTAATTTCAAAATCATTTTTTCAAACAAAGTGGTATTCACAGGGGTATACGCATAAAATGCATGTACATGTATACATGATATTGGGTTTTATATATCTGCCTGGACAGACAGATGGACAATCTCCATATCCCTAAGAACTTCATTCGATGGGATAAAATTGCAGTGAATCAAAATCCCCATTGATGCCATAGCACTCCTTTAAGCCACTCATTGGTAACCCAATCTGATACTACTGACCTGAGAGTTGTGCTGTATTTCTGTAACTACACACATATGCATTGCACAGGTCAGTTTGGTTACAACACCTGTAGCCATCTAAGAAGCAGTAATTACTTCTTCTTTCAATTTCTTTTTCCAAACATCTAATAAAAGATAAGACATTCTTAAAAATGTTCATTAATACTGACTTAGAATTTTTTTTAAATTTGATAAATGTAAAAAATGTTTTAGTATCATCACCAATATTACAACATTGTACTGCAGACCCTGAATGACATTGAAATGCCATGGTCAACATTTTGCCTAGATGAAAATTCATGTTGTTATCGAATAACTGGAACAGCCAAACAACATTCTCAGATTTCACTCCTTCAAAAAATAGTTGTAAAAGATATATTAGAATTCCTGATGTAGCTACATTTGAAACTGCTCCCCCATGGCAGACAAATTTGTCAAACATTTGTCAAACATTATTTTTTATGAAAAATTAAAAGGACGCAATACATCTAGATCTCACGAATACCTTCAGAGTTATATACTGAAAACATTTCTAAATAATATCATTAAAAAGTTAAGATATACCAGTATCAGGGCTTTCAGTAACATGTCTAACATTAGGAGGACCCAGATTTTGATGAAGGGACTCCAAAACAAAAAATTTGAAAGATCCGTCCCTGGGACGCAAAGTCCTGTGATTTCATTAACAAAATTGATAGACTCGGAAAAAGATCTTACCTTCAGTCTTTTATTTGGTCAAAAATCGGCTAAATAAACGAAGGATATTCTATTTCTAAAAGAAAAACAATATTTTCTTTCGAAGTTTTTTTTTCCAGAAGTTGATTTCCGATCAAAATAGTACAAGGCTGTGATAGGACAATCCCTAGTTGCTACAGTACAAAGCAGTAATTGGTACGAGTCCTATGATTGGTCGCGATTATTAATCGCGCATTCGTCTTAATAATTTTAACTAATCAATTGCTGGATTTTGTTGCGCATGCGCATAAAACTGAACTAATAAATGGAACCTCGCAGAGATTGCCTCTAGTGAAATTTTCTGAGCAATCAAAATCAGTAGCAAGTTGCTTTGAAATACGAAAAGAAAATGCGTATTTAATGGTTGAACATTAGTTATCTCTTTCAGTGAAGGTATCTGTATCATTTAGTGACCTACTAGACTTACATATAATTTAGTTCTTTTATGAAAAATAAATAGCATGCTCCACCATGGCAGACAAATCTTTCGATCCCAACCCATGGTTATTCCTGTCGCATGTGGGTACTATTATTTGGGAACACCCTGTATACACACAGATTACATGCACATGGACAGAGGAGTTCTGGAGTACATGAACATAAATCAATAATCATATGTGTTCTTATTAAACAAAAAAATTATGAAAACAAACATTGTAACTGTATAACACTCAACCTAGTTTCTGACCTGTATTTTCAGAGGTTTTAGATTAATGTTGTATTCCAAGAATCATATCTGGCAACATGCCTATCAAGAATTAGAAACAGAAGAGCTGGGTGCCAAATTGTATTTATAGATCTTTCTGTATCGGAGTTGGGAAACATTTTTCTCATATCAAAACATATGAATTTATCTATCAATACCATTTACTGTTCTATGTTTAGTTTTAGTTTGAAATCATCTGGTCCCAACTTCCAAAATGGAAACCTTAAAAGTTATGCTGCAGAGCAAAACCTAATCATTTTAAAATTATCCTCCAAAATTTGAAATGAATCAATGAAAGGTTTGGCTAAAAACGTGCACATAATTCTACAGACAGGATATCAAGATAGAAAATACAAAAAAGCCAACTTAAAATTTACCAAGCATGCCAAAAATCTAATAATCAGTTTTAGATTACGTGCCAGAGAGATCCCTGATATTTTCTATCCATCAAGTGGTTAGTTTGGAAATAAACAGACAAGAAAAGGGAGCTCCCACCATCCACAAAGATGACGACAACATCTCACTTTTTATAAGTACAATGGAAACATACCCAAATGGTTTAGACAGACAGAATGATGGATGCATAAAAAAAGTTAATAAAAAAAGAAAAGGAGTTAATGAAAAAAAGTCAACAAAATAAGTACAACTTACGTAAATAAGACACGAGAACCTTTTTTGGCAGTTGCATTCAAGCAATAACCATCTTCGCAGTCTACCAAATGTGTAGTATCGTTGCATAATATTTTTTCAGAAATAGAAGCTTCTTTGGCATCATAGCATATTATTCCTTGAAACAAAAATTAATAAATCAATGTAAACATTGTTTTGAGAGTTTTAAAACACAATTGTTTTTACACACTTTCTTTGGTTCTAGATTTTGAATGTCCTGCAAAAAACACAGAACCTTTCTAGTTATTTTCAACTTTCTGTTTTCTTTACCATGATCACTGGTGGATCTGGGGGGGGGGGCAAATTTTGAAGAAAATGGGCCTCAAAATTTGGGCCCACTTTTGGGTTTTAGGGGCCTAAAACATTTTTCCGGAAGTTTTCACTGAAAATCACTGTTTCAATATGACTATATTTATGAATATTGAAACCTAATTCCTGATAAGATCAGTCATTTGAATGAGCTATATCAGTCACATCAAAATTTATGTCAAGATTTGTGTAAAACTTTAAAGTACATTGCTATGAATGGAGTTTGAACAATATCCAAATTCTTAAATTAACTTTCGTTTTGTACCTTCTCTATCACTGACTGATTCACTTATGTAAATCACTTATGCAAACATTTGTTTGTTCAAAACAATTGGATCACCTCAGAATGTATGTTACGCATGTTATTTAAGAAATATAGACCGAAAAGCAGGGGTTATATCGTCGAATACACCCCGCAGGGCTAGGCACAAACGTTTTCTGTACCACGAACGATCGAAGGGAGTGAGGGGTTCGAAAGCTTATGTGCCTAGCCCCAAGGGGTGTATTCGACGATATTACCCCTGCTCTGAGGTCTATATTACGATTCGAACATGAAAACTCACCAAATTGTTTCGAATATTCATCATGGTCCGCCATTACTACGACCCACCGTTATGACGTCACACATTACAAGTATTAACTGGGTTATTGATCTCGAATATAACCCAGCTGAAGCATTGACTTTGTTTACAGTTTATAGAAGGCGTGAATACAGTCATGTTCGAATTGATAATAACAGGGAATTAACCCAGATGCGAGTAGAAATAATCTTGATTTACGTCATTAAAAATTCAAAATTCAAAAGTCAAAGTAATATCATATTTGAAATCTACATGTAAAATTACATCGAGAAATGTGGTTTTAAAAAGTGTTTATCAACTTTGAAAAATTAATTTTCTTTGAAAATGTGACTTCTAGCTCGGGGAGATTCCCCATAGACCCCATAAAATCACAAAAAATGAAATATCTTTTCTTTTAGTGGACAGATAATATTTTGCTTTACTGGACATATTTTCATTAGTATAAGTATCAGGCACATAAGGGTTATATGAAAATTGAGCCACTTAAATTGATAATATTCAAGTTTAGGGAACTTTCTTCTATACCGTAACCTGCCATGTTAATTGACCTGAATCAGCCACCTGGTGGTGAAACTGGTAACTACCTACTCGCATTTGGGTAATTTGGGTCTTCTTTTCCAATATTTTGACACCTATTTTTGAAAATGAAACCCAAAAAGAAGAAATGGGAAAAGGATGGGAGTGTGGCCTCAGATGATATCTAGATGGGGCTGCCCCACCTCTAATAACTTTGACTATCAGAGTTTTGACCTTATACTAATGATGGGGATGGTCCTATACTAAATTGACCTAATCTCTAGATTTGGAGTTTTTCAGAATCTGAGAGGCAAAATCTGAGTGAAATCGAACTGCCACCTTTTCTCACTACAAAATGGCGTTGATCAAGGTCACTAGAATATTTGCCATTCTCCAACAGTTTTGAAATTCTCTCAACAAATTACCATCACATAGATCTACAGCATTTTTGAATAAATCGCTTCAAAAAGGGTTAGACAGTCTTTAATCTTTTGTTCAATGGATGGGCCCAGAAAAATAAATTGGGACCAAAAATAAAATTTGGACCAAAAAAGGCCTTATCTTTTAATTTCAGGCCAAATTTAGAAGGAAATGGGCCTCAAATTTTCAAAAAAAAATTTCGCGCAAGGGCGGAAGTTTTTTTCTCCGACCTGAAATTTGGGCCCCCTTGTTGGTTCCCAGATCCGCCCCTGGTACCTAGCTGTTCAGTAGCCCCCCCCCCCTCTTCCCTCCTGGTGCAGAGAAACATAAAACTGGGATCATAACAATCTCTAATGTAGATCTAAATATAGGCTATTTGAAATTGGTATTTTCACCTTTTAATAATATTTATACCTTTAAATATATTCACAATTATAGACTAAGGAAAAAGCTTGCAGTTTTTAACTTGAAGTGTGTGACTGACAACCAGATGAATCAAGATCATTGAGTCAAAATAAAATTTTGAAGAAAACCCAAAATGAACTGTTTGTTTTTATTTTTTGAGACTAGAACGTTTATAGTTAGATACAAGCACTGAATTGACATACCTGCTGCTTTGGTTACCAGCACGACCAAAACGAGTACTTGTAATTGTCGATAACATTCCATAATTTAGCCAATTTTATCTGCTCATTTCCCGGAGATGTTATCACCATGATTTCAAACCGAATTACTTAGTTGATGCTTTTAGAAATCCATCCGCGGGAAAAATCTTTTGGTCCTTTTTTGATGAAAATCATTCATCTAAAATTGTAAATCTTACTTCTAACTAATCAAACAAACTTTGAATAACAAAAATAGATAAATTTCATAAGGTTTAACAGACAATTTGTTAGAAAATATAAAGAACTATATTCTGAATTTGACAGGTCAGGTTTGATGGATATTGAATGAGCTGAGTGTGCTATTTTTTCTTATTACTGCCATCTATCTTTTGTTTAACCAGTGTATTCATTCCATCGTGCTAAGGCAAATGGCTTTTTTTCATTCCATATCAAAACTCAGCATATTTATTGAGTACTTGGCTCTTGAGTTCATGAAAGGTCAGTGGTCATACCAAGCAAATCATAAATTATCAAGATTATATTTTAAGTCAACTAATGAATCAAGGGACTTCGATATTTTCTACTTTCAAGATGGGACATGGACAGATTGTGATGTTAAGGGGAGGCATCAAAAGTTCGATGTCGGCTAGAAAACTAAATAAATCTAGTTAGGGGGAGGGGGTTCAAAACCATTTCAGTTTGCTATCCGACAAATTTCAACATTTCAAATTTTTGGCAATTTTAACTCAGAATGCCTTGGAATTGTTTAAAAATAAAGATTTTACCTGATGCTTTCTTCAAGATCATTCCAAAGGATTCTATGTTAAGAGCCGCAAATTACGATAGGAATTAACGAAAACTAGATCATGTTTAGCAATAATTTTTCAAATTCTCAAACCGGAAGTCAGAGATCAACTTTCATAGTATTTAGTTTTTGGGGGGAGGGGGGGGGGGTCAGAGTCAAAACTAGATTTATTTAGTTTTCAATCCGACATTAAACTTTTGATGCCTCCCCTAAAGGAGAGAAAAACAAACAAATGTTGTATTAAATTCTAGGAAAATTTTATTAAAAATATTTCTTATATGAAAACAACCACGATTCCCAAAAAGATTTGTCAAAAATATGAATTTGGTTATTTGGATGTGATACAGTCATATTAAGCAATATCACACATCAGGCCCACTGCCAGGGGAGGGAGTTCGAGCAAACCTGGCCAAAAATACATGATCATGCAATTTTTCACCATTCTGAGCATTTTCCAAAGCTAGCTATGGGCCTGATACATGCACATGTAATTGCTTTCTCATTATTATACAAAATTGTCAAGGACAAGGCACAGTGAAGAGAATGATTTCATATTATTAGAGTATTGCCCAAACAATTTAACATATTAAATACTGCCTATGAAATTATAATTGTAATACATTATACATGATATAATATAGATTACACATGATCATTTTTTGTACCCTTTGCATTCGTTTGACTTCACTTCTTAAAAGAGAGCTTCGTCTTCACTCTTTCAAACTAAAATAAACCTGTGAACTCACCGCGCCAATCAGTGTTCGTCGGCCAAATTTGACCGACGTTCTTTATATGGTCATTCCTTCTAACGTCATCGTTGAGCCCGAAATTGACCAATGACATGCGCATATTTAATTAGAACGCATTTGGTGTATGTTTCTTCAAGCTCGCTGATTGGTGTAAGGTCAGCGCGTAGGTTAGAAGTGATTTACCCAAACTGTCGCCGGTACCCGTCGTGGGGGCGGGGCTACTAAATTGTAATATGGTCTCTACTAGGCAGAGTGTAGTTTAACTAGACTCTGCACGCAGGGTACATTTTTTGTTGTTCTGCTATCAAAAGATGTAAATGGAAAATTAATTTTGGATTTGGATTTTTTGTCAAAATGAACAATTTTGAAATTTTTGGTCAAAACATTGTCACTCATTTCCAAATGAAAGTTTATATATGAAACAATAAATGTTCATAAGTTGAATAATAATCGAATATACTTTTGGTCAATAACTCTTCAACTCCAAGACACAATGTTGATGAAGAACTAGGCCTAAAGTGTCCTTCGCCTCCCTCATACAGTAGTTATTGTACTGTAAAACAGAAGGCTTAAAGAATGTCAAAGTGAAGTTGATCAAATCCATTGCCCAGTTGGTAGGTGGCACTAAACGAGCTTCTCCAGGTTTTGGTTTCCAATCCGAGATAAAGTTCTCATTGTATGCACCGACACTGTTATGATTAACATTCCAATCTGGTGGTTTTATATTCAACATTGAATGTGGGTTGGCATCTCCAAAGGAAGCATTCTGGTCAGAGTCAAATATTTCAGTGGGGATTTTATCAATGATATCATCCATCGAGTCCTTATCTGCATCGTCGGGGTTAGTTTCATCGAATAGAAAGTCCAAACTTGATGACAAAGAATCCTCTCCAAAACCACGCATTCCAGGATTAGTCAATGTCGTTAAGTCCATTTTGTTTGATACCTTGTTTGTCGTGGAAATGTTTGTCGTTGGTGGAGTCAAATTTGAGTGAATGGAAGCCAGTGTTGTTATTGAAGCTAAAAGGCAGATTGCACTCATGGTGTAAGCAGCACTGCATAGAGCTATTTTCTGGAAGTACAACAATATAACATGTGCAATCATAAAACACATACAACCATAAAATACTTCACTTCTACAAGACCTCTCAATTTAGACTGGTTACCAGGGTATTTAATCTATCTATTAGATTATTTGTATTTCCCCATAAAATATTTGCAATTGCACGAGGCCCTTCTAGTGGCTTATCATATGACATCAGTGATGGGTCCAAGGTGACATTATAAACATGTTGCAACATGATGCCTCAAAAATTTCAGTTATGAGGAACAACATGGTTCAATAAAACTAACTCATTTCATTGTTTTAAAATATGAGAATCTTAGCCAAGTCCAAAGACCATTCATTTTTACAATTAAATAGTTAAATACTACCCTTTGCATTCATATGACTTTGCTTCTTAAAAGTGATCTTCATCTTCAGTTTATAACTAGATTTTGCATGCAGAGTAGTAAAATATACAGCCTACCTGTACAAGGGAAGTCAAAGCATTGCAAAGTGTGTCAATCCGTGTTGAGTTTTCAAGGAGGATATTGAGGTCGGTGTATGAAAACCAACCCCTGTCCACGGCCTGACTCAATGCTATCCTCTGTTCAACGCCATGCAGCACACGTGTAAAGTCCTGGTCACTAACAAACAATTGCCAGTCCTGGAAACAGAATTCGAATGAATGAGACATATGTGGTTAATTTCTATAAGTAGTTTCCATAACAAGTGCATAGTAGAGACTTGATCAATGTGTTCAAACATCTTGGTACTTATGTTGTTCATTTATGTACATTTGAGTGCAGTGACATGAGCATATAACTGTTTTCTGTAAGGTTGAGGTAAGTGGTTTGAGTATTTCAGTGTCATTGAGAGCTGATGGCTCCTGGACAGTCTTTCTTCTGAACTTAGTCACCAAGTAGTACAAATGCATTCTGATTTATCAGAGTCCCTCTTTACCTAACGCTTTTGAGAGACTCTGATATATCATGAGGCAGAACATGTTCCTAGCCAGTGCATTCTCCAAGTAAATCAGTGTATATGGAGGAATAAGTTAGTGCCTAAGAATGCACCGTCCTGTTTTCCCCTTTGTAAACTTTAATTCAATGAATTCATTATGTGGAAAACTTTTATTTATCTTGATGGTTCTTGTTTTCATATTGAAAATTAAATAACAATGATAATGTTGACATACTTTTTTTTCTTATTGTTTTCCAATTTAGAATTTTAAACAATAATTATCATGCAAATGTCAACACTTGGATTATTTGGGAGGGAATTGTGTTTGGTCACACTCATTAGGCTTTGTCTGCTTATGTAATCATGCAACTGCAGGTAATGCCTTCCCATGATACTCATGGTCAATAGAACTCTGTAAATAATTTGATTGGTCCGTACATTTTAGGGTTAAAGGAAACATTTATTACAGTCAGTATCCCACAGTCTGAACTATTCCAAAAGGATAGTAAAGGCTGTGGATCCCACAATGGTACAAATGCCAAATGGCGCAAAACATTTCTGAATTTTTTAAAAACAAATCAGTGAACTATCATACAGTCATACAATTGGACAGGTTTTGCTGTTATCTTAAAGAAAACAAGGCATTAACATGCAAAATGTCATCACCTGCCATTTGTTAGATGCCAGATGCAAAATGATGTCCACAAAAAGTTGGGAGACTTATAAGAATATATCACCACTTCTGGTGATGATATAATAAGCATTAATTGTTTTAGCAATGAGTCACAATTTTGATGGATCATGTACTGTTAATAAAATCACCCATGTCACCTGAATAGACCGAATGCTTAGAGTATGCAGTTTTAATTGAAGACATAAATTATATAGACAAGCTAATACAATAGAAATGCTTACTATTGCAGAAAGAAAGTCTCGTTCCAGTTCATTCAGGTCATCTTGGTTCATATGTGCCGAAGCTGCCCATTCATCATTGAAGACCTCCTCATCCACGCCCTCATCATACATGAACTTGGAGGCAAGCATCTGGAACACAAAGTGAAACAAGGTTTATGAATTTCAATGTTACTCGTTTAATATCTCCATGTCAAATTTTGAAAAGTAACCTGCCTTCACGTTCAATATGCATAACTCCATCAAAAAGTCATAAACTTTTTAAATCAAAAGGCAGCCCTTTTGAATTCTGGAATTGTAAACATCTTTTTGGTAACTTTATATTCAAATAAATATCAAATATTTTAAATACAGGGACACATGCACATTTACTACATACAAAATTATTGTTGTTATGGATAATAGATGGCAGAATGAGTATTCAAAGAAATATACATGCTAGGGAGTCACAGGTTCAAGATTTTCATCGGTCTTTCCACACTGTCACATGATTTAAAATAGGTCCGCATGATATGACAGAATACACAGTTCAAAAGTATTTCAGATAAATGTTAAAATGATATTTTCCCAATTTTTCAGTTTTAAATTTTTTCTCACAAGTGCAATGGGATATGGTCTTTCAATAATAATATCATGTAACCTTCGAAAATCCATCAATCACAATTTCAGCAAAGAGCAGAATTTCAAGCATTATATACAATTTTGTGAGCCAAATGATCAAACTAAAAAGGCAAACATTGTCTAGTAAGACTTCTTATAACCTTTCACAAGCAAATCAGTTGAGTGTCATTTCATACTACACAAGTATATGAAGAGGTCTAACCATAGAAATAAGGAAGAGTTCCGATGACGTCATTTTCTTGAGGTAGTCTGGGTTTTTGTGTTTCAGTCGTTCAATGTAGAGCAGTCCAAGCATCATAGCACATGGTGACACACATGCTCTCCTACAAAATAAATGGCAATAGTAAAAGTTAGGAATTCATTACAGTGGCTATATCATCCGCACATGAAAATAGTTTTGGATTTGACTCGCAGCAAAAGTCTGACTATTTCCATAGAATATTCATAATAGTGTGTAACTCTTCTACTTCGCATACTGTTTTACAAACAGATTATTTGAGACCCCCCACTTTCACTTGAAATTAATTTATTGTTGCTAGACTATTGAATTGTAGCTTTATTAATTTATTGTAGCTAGTCTTTCACCCAGTCTCTCCCTTCTCACTATCTTATCCAAGACAGGCTTTAGAGTTTGGGGTTGGGGGAAGCAGGGGATAGATTCAAGAAGCCTTTGTGCCATACCTGGTCACGGAGGAAGCATACATTTGGTCCACTTGTCCGAGGTCGCAAGGCACATTTTCCCGAAAATAGTCCACAGCAATTTCTACAAAGACATATACAATTTTTCATGAAAATCATTTTTGCCGACATTGTTCCTTCAGTGAAGTTGTGAAATTGTTAGCTAATTGGTTAACTTCCATGTATTGTTATGTGGCAATTTCTATGTGCTACAATAATTTTATAAATTGCAATGGAAAGGAAATGAAAAATCAACTGCTCTTGGAATGTTATAGTTGAATGTAAAACAAGGCATTAATGGTACAAAAAATTTCAAAATTTCACCACTAGGAAAAGTGTAACAAATGTTACAAAAGCAAGTCACAAAATAAAGGCTAAAAATGTGACGCCTTTATTGTGACACATGGCATAAGTGGTCTTGGCTGGTTTGTTTGATGAGCTTGGTCAAATTGTTCATATTTCAAAAATATATTTCATATGTCAAAATACAAGAGACCTCACATGAATTATTAGCAAAATCACAAGCAATCCAAATGTTTCATATAAAAAATATGAATACATTTTGCTACATAAATATTGCCTAGAATAGATTCCTTACTTTTAGGTTTGATCGACTTACCAAACTGACAAATATAAGGATATGAAAGGGTTCAAATCATACACTATGTGACCATATTCAGTCTTGTTATCAATTCTACCTTGCAAACACACCTGTTTCTAAAAATGAGGCAGTAGCAACATCTTTCGCTGTGTGTCCATAATACAAAGTCTTCTTCAATCTTTCTGTCAATATGCTATGATCTTGAGTTTCCTATAAATGAAAATGTGTAATTTGTACATTTAATAGGTAATAAATGTATCTTATTTGTCAAAACTTTGTTGTTGATGGAATTATTCACCAAAAGTAGTGGGAAAATAGCCCTTTACATTTTGACAGGGTTTTGACTACATTTGGAGACGTAGTCAGCCTATCACATATATTACCTCATGGAACTGTACCAGTGCAAAGTGATGAAGTGCTACAAAACATTAGCACTATTAGTGTATGTGATCTTGAGAAAATGTATGATTGGATGATAAGAGGTGAAGCTAAAATGAAAATGAGTTCTTTTTTCATAGTTCACTTTGGCTATGCCTAGCAATAAATCATAGTAAATCAACAGAGAGTTCTAAATGATATCAAAGATCAAGAAAAATTGGATGACTAAAAATATTCTGAAATGAGTGCAACGAACGAAAGGTGAGCAATGAAATTTTGAATTTTTTAAGCCACAACCGTACTTTTGTGATATGAAAAGACGGCCCACTTCAGTCATCAAATCATCATAATCAATCGCTGGTGAATCAAATTTTATGCTTATTTTTAGTCTTTGGATATGTTTTCAACAAACGGGGAAAATATGAAGGCTCAACACAGGCAAAAAAATTAACAATTTTGTAACTTTTAAAAATGGGTTGGTGGATTTTCGGTCTGACTGAGGAGCTCCTTTATTAGAGATAAAGAGTTATTTCAAGGGTTTGATCACAAATAGATGTCACTGTGAGTTACTCACTTCGAGAGCCATGTAGCCTAATGTTAGATTTTGAAACATTGGCTCTGGAACGGGGAAATAGACAGCTGAATAATAGTGACCTTTGAAACACAAATTAAGTCGATCAGCGGCTGAATTTTGTTCTCTAAGTATGTCATACATCATCATCATCCTTCCGTGCGAGTATTGGAGCGCTGAAGTACTTCCTTTTTGACCAAGACTTGTAATTGTTAGTCGAGTGAATGTTTTTTTCTGCCAAATTCCAATATGGCGTTTTCTGCTCGGACATTTTCGTTAATCTCCGGAGGTTGTCCGAACTTTACTCATTCTCAAAATTAATTTTGTTCGTTGCGTATCTCGCTCCTAGCAAACCGCCATATTGGAAATGGGTCGAAACAACATTCACTCGATGAACAATTTACAAGTCTTGATCGAAAAAGAAGTATTTCAGCGCTCCAATACTTGCACGGATTGATGATACTGATGGAAGACACAGTTAGAGACCAAAAATAAGCCGCACAAGTGTAAGCACAGGTGTAAAACAAGCAACACGAGACCATTTAGCGGCATTATAGCGCATAAAATGATACAAACAAACAAACTGATCGACTTAATTCGATTTCAAGGGTCACTATCATTCAGCCGCCCAAGTACGCCGTGGGAAAGCTATTATATCCACATAGCTTTTGCAGGAAGTAAACTGTGAGGTGTTGATACAGGTTCCTGTGGTTTGAATGAAGAAAAATCTCTGAAAATTTTCCATTTCTTTCAAAAACTTCTGTAAGAGTGATCAAAGCTTATTAATTGCAAGCATATCGTTGTCTCAATCCAGTTCTCAGGATGATTCAGAAAAATGGAGAAACAGGAACACTTTTTTCTCTTTTTCTGAAAAGTAAAAAAAATGTTTCGACGTTATTTAGATTCTTTTGATGCAAATAAAGTGATTCTTACCTCAATAATTGCTTCTATATGCTTTTTACTTTTCTTAGGACATGTTTTTATCGAGTGTTTCCGCATATTCGATGGCAAAATCGCCATGGTTATAGAAGATATGTTTATTCGACTTTCATGTCAAAATGGCGGAAAATCACTGTATGAGAGATACTAAACCTTTTGCGCTAACTCTAAAATCAAAATATTCTTTGAAATATTGAAAGATCTACATATTATGTAATCATAAAACCAACAGCTGTACGAATGCATTAATTTATATAACAACAAAGTTTTTTATTTACAAATATTCATTTATTATTTTGGATATTATTAAATTTGCGCACTTCATTTATTTCTACTCTCACACATAGCACAAGGTGGGGTACAAAATGGCGAACAATATTTGGATAAATTTTTAAAGCAGAAAATTCGATATATACTCGTACATGATGGCTGATAATCGAGTCGATGTATCTAGTTTGCCTCTGGAGATCAGGGCAAAGCTAGCGGAGTTGGATTTAGAATTGTCAGAGGGTAAGTATTCAAGAAATATTGCTTTGAAAAGTCAAGGTCTCTTCAAAACATTTTCAGATTTCCTTCATTTCCGGTCTGCATAACTTTATGAGTCAGAATTGTTTTTGTTTAGTACATGTGCTGGTTATGTCATTTGTAATTTTTCCATGAATAATGATATTACTTTCTGTACCTTCATCATCATAGAATGAAGTCACATATCTGTGCTCTTACTGATACTAGATCTATAGATATATCGATATGGATATCTGAAGTTCAGGAAGTTTCATTTGTATTTCTATTTATATAAGATGCAACAGGCATATTTGCCACTATGCAAGGTTAGATATGCCTGCAGATATGTTAGAATGCTCATGGTCTTATCAATGCCAGCTGATTTTGCATGCAGACATCTGAGAATTGTGTGCATTGACTAAATTTTATCACTCAACCAATGAATATCCTCTTTGTAAATCACCTCCATGGGAATGAATTGTTTGGCTTCCAGAAAAACGATTACATGTACCTGTCACTGTCAAAACATAAAAATAAGCAGTCAAACCATCAGCATGCAATTTTATATAGAAAAATACATTCATAATTTAGTTACCTAACTTGTTAAATTGTCGGACACTTATTTTTATGAGCAGTAAAGTTGTTGCCTCTAGTGATTTCTTGTAGTTTCAGCCAATTTTGAGACCAAACTTCTAAAATAATATGGCAGAGAAGCATTTTTTTCTTTTAATGTTGCATTTGGTATTTTAGATTCTCATTTTTAGGTTTGATTGACTCCAGAAAAATATTTTGACAGTCTATTCGGTCTATTTTTTAATCACACATATATTGCCAGTTTGTGCAGTTTTCCTTATTGACAGTTTCCTTGTTTTGGAATTTTAGAACATAAATAGTGAAAGATTTCCTGCTGTTTTGTTGGTTTTATGACAAAATTTACTTTTCACCTTGAAATATATTCATCTATTAGTGTTGACTTCAGGGTTGAAAATTCTTTAAAAAAATGGCACCTCTTATTAAATATGCATTTTAAGTAAACTGGTATAATTCTATATATAATATAGATATCTATTTTATGTTGTACAGGGGTTTCACTCGAATTTCTGTGAAAAAAACCAGTTTGCAAGCAGATATAATGTACAGTGTAATTATAAGTTTCCTTGTTTATTTTCACAATGCAGATACTTTGTTCCATGATCAATTATTTATATAAAAGACCAACATTACATTAATTCTTCAAAACTTGTAGTTGTTTGTTTTCTGTATAAATGGTTATTTACTTTTAAATTGACTTTAATGTTTGAATAGATGTCTTGCTCCAAGCCCTTATGACCCCCCCCCCCAAGTCACCTGATCTTGGGGGAAGTAGGGCCCAGATACTTGAATCGAGACTAAAAGTGCACATATTTGGTTTTTGTAAAAGTACAATATTATGTTTCTTTGTTAACTTGTTTTCTGTCTGTCTGGTTTCTGCTATCTCTTTGTTTCAATATTAAATAAATGATAGATAAGATAGCTCTATAATTTGCATGAAATAGATATTAATGTCAATACAAATTGAGTTCATATCTCTATGTGTTTATTTATTTTCTTTTCATGAACATTAATGAATCTTCTGTTCATGAACAATAGTGACTACCATTGTGGTATATACAGCTTAATACATTTATAAACAGGATCCCTAGTTTTGAATCAAGTCTCCCGCCCCACAATTTCTATTTTTCCAACCTGTGTCACAGGTGGGGCAACACAATGGATTGGTGAAAGAGTAAATGATTTCTAGTATATTTTAAATCTAATATTCTGTGGAATATAAGTGCTCAGAATGGTGAAAAACTGCATGAATTTGAAAGAATTTCTGGCCAGGGGGTGGGGGTGGGGGGGGGAGCAGTCGCTTCCTCCACTTCCCCCCCCTGGCTACAGGCTTGTTATTGACATTTTTATAGCTCCCCTCTTCCTCCACTCATTATCAGTAATATGTTGATGACTTTTACTTGGAGTACAATTATTTCAAGTTTAAGATGATAAATCCATTTTAGTAGAAAATTATTTAGTCATTTAAACAATGCTTTCTGACATAATGTCACATTAACATATAACCACAACTTCCTTGATTCGTCTCATATGTCAATATATTATAATGACACATAGCACTTTTAATAAAGATTAAGTACTGGGTATCATAAGTTTGTTTTGAACAATTGTGACAATGATCAATCATACATGTTTCAAGATGGATATTCAAAATGCTGTTAATGTATATAGTACATGTACTTATGTACATATACTTATATATATGTACTATTATGTAGTGATAACCCAAGCTTGGAAGAATAGAATATTCTATGTTGGCCCTCAATCTGAAAATGTGCCTTCAACTTGTTTGACCTCAGTATTGTTTTTGTTATTGTTTTTGTTGGCCACTTGGGAGAGGGAGGGGGAGGGTGTGGAATTCATAAATGAAAAACCTTGAAATTAATTGACCTTTAAGGACCTTGAAGAGTCCTGAACATACAATTAATATAAATCATATATCTAGAATGGAACTGATAGAAGTTTGCAATGTTTCACAATGATAGTCAGTGATAGTTGAGTGATTTTTACACACATAAATAGAAATAGGAATCTTGTAAAATGAATTCCTTTCCTAAATCCTTCATCATTGACCCTTTTTATTTCAATTTAGATAAGCTCTATCCCTTACATGACCATTTGAACATTCTAATAAATATCCCAATCTTGATTATTAAATTTCATACACAAAGAAGAACATTATCCCAATATTTTATACCTTTTGTTAATCCACTGAAAATACTATATTTATGTATATAACCTGTGAATACGGTAGGTAATGAGATTTTCACAAGAATATAAAGCTTCTTAAATAACACTGAGATTAATAAAGCAAACTATGCTAATCCACTGGAATCTTGCTGGAGAATCAATTTTCATGACAAGTACAACTGTGTTAAATACTGAACATCAGCATGATAAAGTCATAAAGCTTTGTACCCCAAAATTCTGTTAAAGAGATTTCATGTAGATTTAGATATTTGTGCATATATCTATGTACGTGTATATTCAATTTGAAGTCTTCAATGAGTTAGATGTTATTTGTAACAACTTTTGTTTTTCATATGGAATTTATGTACTCTACATGTAGTTATAACACATATTGGATAATATACATGCAAATTAACGTTTTAGGTTGCACTATGAGGACATTATATAAGTGTTGTTGCATGACTTACATAGTTTATCACAACATCATAATAAGGAAAATTGCCTAGGCTCGGATGCCTTAATTCTAATGTGTAGTAAGCCATCATGGAATAATATGGCGATTTCTATCAGATGATGTTTTAAGAAGGGAGATGTGTTGCATTACATATGTATATGCATATTTTCAAGTTCATTAACATAATTTTTTTTACTTGAGTCATTTCCTGAAGGTGGCTCTATTTATTTAGGTTAAATCCAATGACTGACATCTTGAATGACATATTTTGAAATTGAGGTCCAAAATAAGATTTTTCTTCCTTTGTAATTGTAATTGAATCTACAACTGATGTACTAACTCAATTCATTTTCCCTAACTCTTTAAGGCCTAGGGGACAAGGTCAACAAAGTGATGATGTAGGCCTATCAATTAATAACATTTATGGGAGGGAGAGTTTATTTTATTTTTGTGAACATGTACATTTTTATAAAAGTGAGCCGTATGGAAAAATTTGTTCTTTCATATTTTGGAGGGTCATGTTAAAATATACTTATGGTATATACCTTTTAGGACAAATAAAGATATTGACCCAGTCCCTAAAGGAATGGTTTAGATATCTGTCATTGTTTTCAGCCTGTTCATCTTGTGTTCGTATCTCATCAAGTTCTTTATCATGTAATTCTGATGCAAGATAATTTATAGAGAACTGTTGAACTTGAGGAAATTATATGATATTATCTACAGATGGGAGATAAGGACCTCATTTGTGTTGGGATATGAGATGTCTTCGAGTAGAATTCTGAAAAAGAGAAATCAGAACTGGGAGCTCTAACACAGGCTTTTTGCAGATTTAGGATTATTTCAAATTGAAAAATTTACATTTCATAGTTGTACTAACTTTACAGCTAAGTCAAAATACAGAGGGTCAAATCAGAATAAGCTGACTAAAAGTCTAAAATTCTTGGCGCACGCTGCAGAATGGTTAACACAGAAGTAGAAATTTTGTAGAAGTATATTGTAAACATTCTGAAGCATATATCTGGAGTCTGGTTGGATTTGATGTTCCTAAACTATGTTAAATAGATCAATGGTATACACACACAGAGGAAAGTAACATCCCAGAATCTTTGAAGAGAATGCTGAAGCATTTAAACATGCCTAAAGTGAATTTTCGCTAAAACTGACAAGTGACTGAATGCATACGCAGAGGTAGAGAGTTCAAAAATAAGTCAGTTAGATCATTACAATAAGGGAAATGATGTGTGAACATTGGTAGTACCAATTAAAAACAACCATACAGTATTATTGTCCACCAGGATGAAAAAAACAAGACTTTTTTAAGAGGTGAAATGATACAGAAAACTAAACAAAACACAAACACAATAAAACTAGTCTTATTTGGACATTTAGTATACACGTATCTAATTAAAAGCTACTGAATGTTCATCCAGAAAGAAAAATAAACAAACTTATTAAAACCAGTTTGTTGGTAGAACTGACTCTAAATATTCAGAGACAACTATAAAAAATAAACCCATCATAATAATTACAATGGGGGAAATGTCAGAGTTTGACTTTTTCTGTGTTCTTGATGAGGATAACACATTTGTTGCTCAAGACATTATGATGGACATTATGATACCCGATGATGACGAAGAGGACCCCTTCTACCCACTAGTAGTAGATGAATGGTGCCTGATAAGTAAGTTTTGGAAGAGTTCGTTTTATGATTGCTATTGACCATGGAGTCACTGTATTATAGAGTATGGTTGGGAGTCATAATAATGTT